CGGGGCCAATTTTGACCCCAGGGCTTTTCTTTGAACAAACTTGGTAGACACCTATTAGAACATGTTTGATGCTCAATATCTTAGCCATAGCTCTTTGAGTTCTTTAAAAGAAGATTTTTTAAGGTTTTACTATATGCATATAGGGAAAATCAATGACCCTGGGGCGGGGCCAATTTTGACCCCAGGGCTTTTCTTTGAACAAACTTGGTAGACACCTATAAGAACATGTTTGATGCTCAATATCTTAGCCATAGCTCTTTGAGTTCTTTAAAAGAAGATTTTTTAAGTTTTTACTATATGCATATAGGGAAAATCAATGACCCCCCGGGGCGGGGCCAATTTTGACCCCAGGGCTTTTATTTGAACAAACATGGTAGACACTCACTAGAAGATGTTTCATGCCAAATATCTAAGCTCTAGCTCTTATGGTTTTTTAAAAGAAGATATTTAAAGTTTTTTCTTTCGGTTGCCATGGCAACCAGAGTTCTGCATGGAATTAAATTCTTTGAACAATTTTTAAAGGTGACCACCAAAGGAACATTCCTGTGAAGTTTGGATGAAATTGGCCTTGTGGTTTATGAGGAGATGTCATTTAAAGTAAAAGTTTACGGACGACGGACGACGGACGACGGACGGACGACGGACGACGGACGCCGGACGAAAAGCGATCACAAAAGCTCACCCTGTCACTTTGTGACAGGTGAGCTAATAAAAGCCCTGGGGTCAAAATTGGCCCCGCCCCAGGGGGTCATTGATTTTCCCTATATGCATATAGTAAAAACTTAAAAAATCTTCTTTTAAAGAACCGTAAGAGCTAGAGCTAAGATATTTGGCATGAAACATCTTCTAGTGAGTGTCTACCAAGTTTGTTCAAATAAAAGCCCTGGGGTCAAAATTGGCCCCGCCCCTGGGGGTCATTGATTTTCCCTATATGCATATAGTAAAAACTTAAAAAAATCTTCTTTTAAAGAACCCAAAGAGCTAGAGCTAAGATATTTGGCATGAAACATCTTCTAGTGAGTGTCTACCAAGTTTGTTCAAATAAAAGCCCTGGGGTCAAAATTGGCCCCTCCCCAGGGGTCATTGATTTTCCCTATATGCATATAGTAAAAACTTAAAAAAATCTTCTTTTAAAGAACCGTAAGAGCTAGAACTAAGATATTTGGCATGAAACATCTTCTAGTTAGTGTCTACCAAGTTTGTTCAAATAAAAGCCCTGGGGTCAAAATTGACCCCGCCCCGGGGGGTCATTGATTTTCCCTATATGCATATAGTAAAAACTTAAAAAATCTTCTTTTAAAGAACTGTAAGAGCTAGAGCTTAGATATTTGGCATGAAACATCTTCTGGTGAATGTCTACAAAGTTTGTTCAAATAAAAGCCCTGGGGTCAAAATTGGCCCAGCCCCAGGGGGTCATTGATTTTCCCTATATGCATATAGTAAAAACTTAAAAAATCTTCTTTTAAAGAACTGTAAGAGCTAGAGCTTAGATATTTGGCATGAAACATCTTCTAGGGAATGTCTACAAAGTTTGTTCAAATAAAAGCCCTGGGGTCAAAATTGGCCCAGCCCCAGGGGGTCATTGATTTTCCCTATATGCATAAAGTAAAAACTTAAAAAAATCTTCTTTTAAAGAACCCAAAGAGCTAGAGCTAAGATATTTGGCATGAAACATCTTCTAGTGAATGTCTACCAAGTATGTTCAAATAAAAGCCCTGGGGTAAAAATTGGCCCCGCCCCAGGGGGGTCATTGATTTTCCCTATATGCATATAGTAAAAACTTAAAAAATCTTCTTTTAAAGAACCCAAAGAGCTAGAGCTAAGATATTTAGCATGAGACATGTTCTAATGGGTGTCTACCAAGTATGTTCAAATAAAAGCCCTGGGGTCAAAACTGGCCCCGTCCCGGGGGTCATTGATTTTCCTTATATGTGTATAGCAAAAACTTAAAAATCTTCTTTGAAAAAACCAAAATAACTAGAGTTTAGATATTAAGCATGAAACATATTTAAGTAAATATCTACAAAAATTGTTCAAATAAAAGCCTGGGGGTCAAAACTGGCCCTGCCCGAGGGGTGTCATTGTTTTTAACTATATGTGTATATAGTAAAAACTTAAAAAATCTTCTTTTAAAAAACCCAATGAGCTAGAACTTAGATGTTTTGCATGAAACATCTTCTTATGGGTGTCTACCAAGTCTGTTCAAATAAACAAATAAAAGCCCTTGGGAAAAAATTGGCCCGGGGGGCTATATACAGGTGAGCGACCTCAGGGCCATCATGGCCCTCTTGTTGAGTTATCTCCCCTTATAGAAAAATCTTGTCCGGGGCATAACTCTAAAACTATAACAGATATCAACATGAAACTTTGTAGGTGAATAGATCTCAATGGGTAGATGTGCAATGCATAAGAACAATAACTCTTTTCATCCTAATTTTGGAGTTATTGCCCTTTGTTAATTTTAATACTTTGAACTTTGTCCGGAACATAACTTGAAAGCCCTTGGAGATAATTTGTTGAAACTTCATACAGTGGTAGAGGGCATCGAGGGGGAGTGCAGTGTCAAAGAAGCATAACTCTATTTTGCCCGGTTTTTGAATTATCTCCCCTTATAGAAAAATCTTGTCCGGGGCATAACTCTAAAACTATAACAGATATCAACATGAAACTTTGTAGGTGAATAGATCTCAATGGGTAGATGTGCAGTGCATAAGAACAATAACTCTTTTTGTCCTAATTTTGGAGTTATTGCCCTTTGTTTATTTTAATACTTTGAACTTGAACTTTGTCCGGAACATAACTTTAAAACCCTTGGAGATAATTTGTTGAAACTTCATACAGTGGTAGAGGGCATCGAGGGGGAGTGCAGTGTCAAAGAACCATAACCATATTTTGCCTGGTTTTTGAATTATCTCCCCTTAAAGAAAAATCTTGTCCGGGGCATAACTCTATAAGTCTACATACTCTATAACTCTACTATAAGAGATATCAACATGAAACATTGTAGGTAGATAGATCCATGAGTAGAGGTGCAGTGCAAAAGAACCATAACTCTGTTAAGCCTTATTTTTGAATAATCTCCCCTTTTAGAAAAATCTTGTCCAGGACATAGCTGTAAAACTATAAGAGATATCAACATGAAACTTTGTAGGTAAATAAATCTCAATGGGTAGATCTGCAGTGCACAAGAATCATAACTCTACCTTGCCTAATTCTGGAGTTATTGCCCTTTGTTTATTTTTACTTTTTGAATTGTCCAGGACATAACTCGGAAATCATAAGAGATATCATCAAGAAACTTTGTAGGTTGATCGATCACATTGATTAGATATGCAGTGCAAAGAACTGTAACTCTGCCTTGCCTAATTTTGGAACTATTGCACTTTGAACTTTTTCCACGGACATAACTCTGAAACTACAAGAGGTGTACTTTCCTGTGTCCAAAACCTATTCGGGGAGCATCACCCGGCTCAAACCGGGCTCTTGTTCTTTTGCAGTGTAAAGCCATTGTAGCAGGCTTTGATTAATAAAATATATTGATCAAATTATTGAAATAGTTTATGAACATAAAGTATTAAGTACTTGTTGTTACTGTTTTTTAGAAATTATAAAATTCAATATCTCTTTCATATGTTTTTTCTTTACACCATTCCATGGGGTTTATCGTTTAAAGTGTTACAGGGTAATTGTACATAAGAGGAGTATTGCCATCGAAAGTGTAGAATGTGAAATAGATCAACAAGGAAAGGCGATGTTCAATGAACGCAACTCCCACACGACCCAGCAACTATAACCAGCAGCAAGTAGCCTAGGAGGACTGACAGGGCGTAAGGCATAGCACGGACAGGCTAAGCACTAAAATGATACATAAGAAGAAATAATAGTAACCTACAAGGAAATCAAAAGCAAAGAAAACAAATAGATAATTGATTAATAAGCCCACTAAGTCAAAGGGCACAGGGGAAAGGGATAGGAGATTTGGGTAATGGGGTGCAAAATTAAAGTTTATGGTTTAATAAACCATTTTGTCAGATATTTTCTTTAAAAAAAGTGCGTTGCCATCTTAGATACCTTGTATGATTATCAAAGATTTCAAGTAAACACCTGTTTGATTTAAAATGCCTTATTTTATTGACATCAGTTGTTGAAATTCTAAGGATTTGAAATTACTTATGTATAGAATGATATTGGGAAATACTAGTACATACCCCATATGGATCCCAAGTTGAGCTTCGGTAAAAATATGTTTCAAAAAGAGTTTGTTTGAATGTTAAGCATTGTTTGGTGGTAAACTTTTGTTAAAACTGTATTTTGAGTTCGTTTTGCGACATTATCCTCATACGCACGATAAACTGCATAAAAATCCAGAAAAATATGGGTATATATTTTTAAAAAAATGTCAGTGGAAAACTTACTCTGCGATTGACTTATTTTCTCCTTCACATATCGTTTCCTTCACATATCGTCTCCTTCAAATATCGTTATAACGCACATCTGGATCAGCGGAAATTCGCATTTATATTTACCGTACAAACCCTGCAATGTTGCATTTTAATGAATCTATAATTTTTTTAAATCCCTGGGATGAGGATACCACGTGTTCCACTAAGTTTCTCAAAGCTTAAAATGACATTATGGGCTTCATCAAAATAACTCTTTAAGGATTTCAATGATTTGGTTTATATTAATTTGAGAAATAAAAGCATGTCTAAGGAAATATTGGCCTGTAATGGAAAAGTCGCAATTTGAGCTGTTTACAATAAATTCGAAAATATGCTGGATACGTTAACGATTGACCCAGACCTTCCGTCAGCTATCATTTTCTTTGCTACGATTTGAGTTGCATTAATACTCTTGAAAAGATTCACGGCAAATATTTTCTGAAAATATTTATTTGAAACTTCAAGAGTGGAAAGCGTTGCTTCATCCGAGAAAGCGGCATTGTTAACAAGTCCATCAAGTGTCTCAATCTTTTTAATCTTCTCTCTTATTTCATCAACATGGCACAGTATACACCATCCGCCTGTAATTAAAGCAGGCCCGTCTTCACAATTTTGTGTGTACTGCAGCCAATTTGGTGGGTTCTAGGGGGAACGGGGGCATGCTCATCCGGAAAATGTTTCATTATAGGATACTTCTATATTCTATAATACTTCTTACCACACAGATATAACTCAACAACCAAATGTAATGCAACAACAAAAACACCCATTACAACTAATGAACCCTGATCAATGAAGATTACCACAATAAACTTCAACCAACTTCAACCAATCGACAAAACAGATGGAGTATCATGCTCATTTAATATAGACATTTTGGACTTTGGAATTTGCAAATGAAAATGCTGCATTTGATATGGACATGGATATGAAAACATGAGCAAGGTGATAAGTTTGGATTCAATAATGATTTCTTTTTAAACAACATGTGCTGCAAACCCTGAAAAATCATTGGTTATATTTTGTAAGGATTTGTGGAATAATATATTTTACATGATGTGGCACAGACTTAGATGCTGCAACAAACAAGCTTCTAAAGGTGAACTTTATACAGATTAAGAAAGGTAAATATATTGATCATCTTTGATTTCTTTATAGGTTTCATTTTTAGTGAACAATTCTTGTTTTCATGTAAAGAATCTATCAAAGAATTGATAATGGAAGGCCGGTGGTTCTACCGGATGCCTGGTTGTGTCTTAAATAATGCACGGAGGAGCAATTGAAAGCCTGCTCCACTAGTTGATTTGGAAATTGGCCATATAATTTTATAACCTTAGCAGTATCTTTGTGACTAAAATATGATAAACAACATCATCAAGGAAATGCGGCGTTCAATGAACGCAGTAAACATAATTATGACATTATAACAGATTTAATCATACAAAAACAAAGCAGGTTATGTTTTAACAATCTTTTCTTTTAATTGATGTTATAATGATTCATCTGGTCTACATTAGTTGAAAAAGTTATATAAGGTACAACATGTATGCAATTTTTTAACAATTGGTTACTTAAGCCCTTCTTATTATTTATTTTGAAGTAATGAAAAATGCTATATTCAGGGTTATCTTTGTATTGATTTTGGACATAATTATATTATTTTAATGTGTTATTTATAGTGAAAAAGGACAAACCATAGTGTTACATTCACCTGTTGTTAACCATGCGGAGGGATTTGACAGATATAGTGAGTGTATAAAATTTCTTTTTTAATGAAACAAACAATATGTCTGTCTGCTCAGCTCAGTTATATAAGAGAGACCTTTGGATAAGTAATCCAAGAATTGCTGCTCCAAACATTAGAGGAGGCGTAATTTCTTCGTGACAGTAGATCATAGACATAGTAGCTAAATTGGTCATTTATCTGTCACCGCTGAATCAGAAATATTGTGGGTATGTAGCAGTCAGTTTTATAGAAATTGGTTATTACAGATAAGTAATAAGTTATACATAAAAGCTGGTTAGTTGGAGCTACAGCTTAAATATTGCCAAAACATGTTGAAACCAGAGAAACAAATAATCAAAGTGGTCAATTGCATTTATAACACTTTCTGACATCATCTCCAGTGTTTCAAGTTTTTACTTCTATAGCATGTCACTTCAAGGCTTGAACCATGCAGAGAGTTTTGGTCATGTGGGAAAATGGATTGGGATATGTCTTAATGGTAGCGCAGGACAATTAGCTGTCATCTTACCATCTTTCCTCACATAACATAGTCTTTTTTCCAGATGTTGGATTAGAAGTAATTTAAATCCCCTTGGTATAGGAGTGGAGTTACAATAAACTGATGCATCATGATAATTTGTATAAATGATTTTAAATTACATTTATTTAAAAAGTTTTTAAAAAATTTAGAAATTTTTGTTTTTGAAAATTAGCAGGTTGTTATATGGAATGGCAATAGAAACACAATGTGTGTTTTTCCCATCTTACCTACTTTTACAGTAACAACTTTGTAAATATTTAAAAAAATATAAATGCAACACTTGAGTATGAATGATACTGCATTTGGAAGCTATAAATGTAAATGTTTGTTTGTACTTCATGATCATATGGGGGGGGGGGGATCCACATTTACGAGTTTCGGATAACACCTGTTAGCAGTTGTTAATATTGTATGTACAGTGACTTTCATTCATCATGCCAGTTGTCAGATAAACACATTATTTATTGTAGTTATGTTTGTATCGTATTTTGTTGCTTTCCTTCAGAATCTGATGAGTTACCACATGAAGCAGGTTTTGACGCGTATATGTGCGGAGTTGGTAAGCATTACTCTTAAATGATAAAGCTTCCGGAGTATTAACTTTATAGTTTTGTCCATCACTGTATAAGTGGTTAAGTTAAGCAACACAGAAATATTGGTTAATTTTGCGAATGGTAGAAAATCGCTAAAATTTTCTCTAGTATAAATGTCGACCAACCTTACAATAATTTTTACACTTGCACATTTTCCTTATATATCCTTGCACAAAATGTCTTGCATTTTAAATTGCTAACTTTCGCGGAAATATCCACTTATTCAGTAAATAGTTGTTACTTCTACTGACATAAAACAGTTCTACAATTTCTGAAATGCGCTCCTAAAACTTTATTCTAAGTATTAATTTTCTTTAAGCCACATATCGATAATGGTTCAACTTGTTTATCCTGTCTGTGCTTAAAGTCAATAGAATGCATTATGTTTGTTTACAAAAGCTTTGGTATTATTACAATTATGTATCGAAACAACGACTTGCCCTTGTTGGGGTGTGAACCCACAAGGCCAGCAGTCCTGAGAGTAGTAGGCCATACTTAGCTTACTAGTCTTGGTGTTTTAAGCACTCGACTGATGAACCTTATATGTCAAATTCCTGTTTATATCATGGTTTGAGAGTTTGGACGAAAACTTGATGGTATGCCTGTGTATTTTATAAAATACATATGTTTTAATTTCAATATCAATCAGACAATGTTGTGCATTTTATTCACAATATTTTGTTTCAGTATTTCTGAGAGTTGGTCATATACTGACATTCAAAGATAATAAGTAAGTTAACCCTTTGAGCACATATTAGAATACAAATAAACATAGGCCGTAAGTAGGTACAGGGTAGGCTGGAAATATAAAATCACTGTAAATCTAGAAAGGTAGCAATGTGGAAATAATGAAGAAATCATGCAATAGTTATGCAGTAATGAGCAATTTTATGGCCAAATAAGTAAATTAGTTAAATTATTACCAGTTTATTTACTGTTTACTACCAGTGTTACTCATTTTGATCACATAGTGTTTCACAGATTTGACATTAACTTATGCATTTTACCTGTATTACTGGATATGTACGGTGCAAATGGGAAGCTCTGATTATAAAGCAGGTCAAGATTATTTTAAAAAATTTAAATGTGCATGAGTTTATCAGTCTTCTTACTATAATAGAAGTTATAGTTTATAAAGCAGAAGCAAAGTTGAGGAAGCTGGAGTTAGGTAATGGCACTAAAGTATAGTGCAGAAAGCAGAAGTTAAGTTAATGAAGCTAGAGTTAAGTAATGGAAGCTATTGTTAAAGCAGCATGCCTCCAGATCTGTGCTAATTTTCATGAAAATTTTGATGTATTTGAATGTGTGATATTGTGAAGAAATTCAAATTGAAGTAATTTACACATTATCAATGGCTCTTACAAACCACATAAATTACCAAAAAGTTGTCAAAATATGCATAAAAAGCCTTAAATATTGTCACAAAGTGACATGGTGGGCTTTTGTGATCACTTTTCGTCCGTCGTCTTTCCTGTGTGTCTGTCCATCATCTGTCCGTTGTCTGTAAACTTTTACTTTCAACGACACCTCCTCATAAACCGCTAAGCCAATTTTATCCAAACTTCACAGAAATGGTCCTTTGGTGGTCACCTTTGAAATTGTTCTAAGAATGTAATTCCATGCAGAACTCTGGTTGCCATGGCAACCGAAAGAAAAAATTAAAATATCTTCTTTTAAAAAAACCCAAGGAGGTAGAGCTTAGATATTTGGCATGAAACATATTCTAGTGAGTGTCTATCAAGTTAGTACAAATAAAAGCCCTGTGGTTAAAATTAGCCCCACCCGAGGGGTCATTGATTTTCCTTATATGTATATAATAAAAACTTAGGAATCTTCTTTTAAAAAACCCAAAGAGGTAGAGGTTAGCATGAAACATCTTCTGGTGAGTGTCTACCAAGTTTGTCAAAATAAAAGCCCTGGGATCAAAATTGACGCTGCCCCGGGGGTACTGATTTTCCTTATATGTCTATAGTAAAATCTTAAAAAATCTTCTTTTGAATAACCCATAGAGCTAGAGCTTAGAGATTAAGAATGAAACATCTTCTAGTGAGTGTCTACCAAATTTGTTAAAAAAAAAAACCAGGGTTAAATTGGTTCTGCCCCGGCGTCTGATTTTCCTTATTAGTCCCCTACCGGTTTAACCGGAGGGGACTTTAGGTTTACCCTCCGTCCGTCTGTCCGTCTGTCTGTCTGTCCGTCCGTCTGTCAGTCCGTCAGTCCGTCCGTCCACAAAACTGGATCCCGCGATAACGCAAAAAGTACTGAAAATATTTTTATGAAACTTGACATATGGATAGATGGCAGTATGGAGATTATGCACGTCTTTTTTTTTCTTCCTATGTTGAAAATTCTGGTTGCTATGGCAACAAATAGTCTGAAAATATGGCAAATTTAAAACATAAACTGGATCCAGTGATAACTCAAAAAGTACTGAAAATATTTTTATGAAACTTGAAATATGGGTAGATGGCAGTCTTGAGATTATGCACATCTTTTTCTTTTCTTCCTATGTTGAGAATTCTGGTTGCTATGGCAACAAATAGCCTGAATTTCAAGATTTCTGATTTAAATTTTTCAGCTTTTTCACTATATGTTCTTTATTTCTTAAGGTGTTTACTTTAAATATAAGTTTCTGGTCATCAACCACATCATATGTGACAAGGTTTACAACTCTAGCACAAAAATTATCAGTATTACCTCCCTTGAACTTAGAAATTTTATGAAAAAAATGTCTTTTTAGCTCGACTATTCGAAGAATATGAGAGCTATTGTAGTCGCCCCGGCGTCGGCGTCGGCGTCTGCGTTGGTTAAAGTTTTTTGTAAAGTCAAATATCTCAATTATTACTTGAGATATTCAATTGAAACTTACAATACTTATTTATAGTAACAAGGTACATCAGATTGACAAGTTGGATAACTCTGCCTACAATATTGACAGAATTATGCCCCTTTTTAACTTAGAAATTTTGGTTAAAGTTTTTTGTAAAGTCAAATATCTCAATTATTGCTTGAGATATTCAATTGAAACTAACAATACTTATTTATAGTAACAATGTACATCAGACTGACAAGTTGGATAACTCTGCCTACCATATTGACAGAATTATGCCCCTTTGGAACTTCGAAATTTTGGTTAAAGTTTTTTTGTAAAGTCAAATATCTCAATTATTGCTTGAGATATTCAATTGAAATTTAAAATTCTTATTTATAATAACAATGTACATCAGTTTGCAAAATTGCATAACTCTGTCTGCAATATTTGCAGAATTATTTGCCCCTTTGAAACTTAGAAATTTTGGTTAAAGGTTAAAAATCTTCAAAGATATTTACTTGAAATTTTACACATGCACTTAGGGTCATAATTGGAGGGGCATAATTGTATGTCACTGACCAAGTTCCATAACTCTATCTTGCATTAAGGCTGATTCATATCCTCTTTTCTACTTAGTCTCTTGGTTAATGTTTACATGCAAGTTTTACATATCTCAATAACTATTAAAGATATTTATTTAAAACTTCACATATGCTTTTTCAACTTAGAAATTCATGGTAAAGTTTTGCTTGTAAGCTGTTATCTCAATAACTACTGAAGGGTTTGTGCCTTTTTTGGGATTCTTAATAATAAAGCAGTGATTTACTTGATAAAACATCTTAATAACAAGCTTTTGTACCTTTTCTGTCAAATTTATGTATTCAGAGGTAATTAGTATTATTATACTCAATAAAAAACCCTCGTGACATTACCTTCCAAATAGTCAAGCCAATTCTGTATAATTAGACTCTCTCTAAGACCTATAACATGAATTCATAGAAAAAAATTAGCCCTTTTGTGAACTTAAAAAATTTAAAATTATCAAGGCTCTTTTACTATCAAGCACTTAGAATAGTCGAGCGTGCTGTCCCACAGACAGCTCTTGTTTAAATAACTTCTTTATTTCCTAATGTATCTACTTCAAACTTCATTTATATGTTTCTTATTATCACTCGACATTTTTGAGAAGGTTAAATACTCTAGCAAGACTATTTCCAGAATTATGTCCCCCTTGAACTTAGATTTTTTTCGAGAAACTGGTATTTTCACTCCAACTTCTTCATTCCTTATAGGATTTACTTTAAAACCCCACATCGTAATAATATGACAAGGTTGTATAAACATAATTTCCTTACTAAGCATGGAAACTTAACACATTACTGTGATATAGACAAACTTATTTTATTATGTTTTGTGGTCGATATTTTCAAATACAGACTTCATCCTCAAATTCATTATAAAGTGCAATACACAGGAGTGTATGACAATTAAAGAACTTTTTGAGGGACCGGTAGGGGACTACTGTATTGCCCGCAATACTATCAAATGCTTGTATTACTTTAGTAAAAACTTAAAAAAACCTTCTGTTAAAAACCCCTAAGGGCTAGAGCTTAGATATTTATCTTGAAACATCTTCTAAGTTGATTAAAAAAAGCCCCTGGGTTAAAATTAGCCCCACCCCAATGGCCTATATACAGGAGAGTGATTTCAGAGCCATCATGGCCCTCTTGTCTTTGCAACTGCGAGATTGATTTCAACAAGACTTTATGGGAACCATCAATACCAAAAGAAAATTTGCATGCCATGATAAATATGTAAATAATCCTTATGTCTCCAGTTGTTGGGAAAATAATAACCAGTACTCGGCGGGGATATAAATTCAACGAATTTGCTTGTTTTACTTTGCTTTTATTTGCAGTTTGATTTAATTCATACATAGACAAAACAACATTCATTACCAAACATTTATGTAAATTACTTACAGTAAGAGAACTTTGTCATTTACCGGCATGATCAAACATGAAAAGTTATTTCTATGTTGTAGAACATGGACCCTGCTTTTTTCAGTCATTTTACAGTAGCTAAAATTAAGTGCATATTCAACACAAACAAATATCCCCCATATCCTATATTTGCATAATAACCAACAAAAATTGAAAACATATTTTTACACCTGTAGTATCTCATTTTGGAACTATTCTCATTTTCAGGTCCTCAGAAGTTATACCATGTATGTTCAGAAGATATTTACAAACATTAGAAAAGAAAAGAAACAAAATCAACGTAATTAGAGCTACTATAAATCATATTGTAAGTTTCACACCATTTTATCATATGTTTGTTGTGCCAGCTTTGAATGTCATAGAATTAGCATGTGTTTTTAATTGTTTTTCTCTTTGCGAAATTGCCAATTTTTTTGTAGCAGTGACATGCTTTCTCTCATCTGTCTTGGTTGTTTCTTCCAGGTTGGTGTACAATACTAGTTTTAAATATTGTGACTTATTATATGACCTAGTGAAATTCAAATGCTTATATAACCCAATCTATTAGACAAGGTTTATATGGCAAACAAACATTGATATAAGCTCACACTATATATTGACGTCGTTTCCATATTAATATTTTATTATCCTGATGATTTTGTGAAACCGTAGAGGTATAATTAAATTACATTAATTAAACAAATGTTTGTTATTATAATTTTTACTGATTTATATTGTATTATATATAGATGGATTTAAAGTCTTTAGAAATGTTTAGTATAAAATTTAATTTATGATATTGCATAGATGGCATGTGTATTGAGAATATATAGAGGTGATTGAATTAGTGTACATGTAAGTTAAATAATGAAGTTGAATGAAATTTTTATATCATACAAGCCTCTGACAAGCATAATATTATTTCATTGAAGGAGTTTGATAAATTAGTAATGAAACTACACAAATATAATTTTCTATTTAGCACATATACAAAATAAGAACTGCTTATGGGTGTATTATCAAAACTTAAAGTAATGATAAATATGTTTTGTTATGTCTGCATTGATTACCATTGCTTGGTTCTACATCATTTTATATATTTTGATAATATTGTTACTCTCTGTGTTGTTGCTGTATGTACTTAAATAAAGTGTACTGGTCTCAGCACACCAACATACAGCTTGAGGATCCTCTACATTCTCCAGTATAGTTGTCCTGTCTTTACAATCACCACTTACTCTATATATACAATTAGTCCAGTAATCACTCACAAAGAAGGACCCGTCATCTAACAGTGAAATACCCCTTGGACTTACAATGTCTACATTCCTTCCTATCATCTCTCCCTGCCAGTTAAACCATATAACTGCATTTTTGCCTTTATCAGATACATAGATTGAATGGCTGTTTGTGGTGACATACCAAGGGCAACTGAAAATACTGTCACCATTGGAATCTTTCTCAACTGTAATTTTAATATTACCTTTCAAGTCCATGATTTGGAGTTTAGCAGGATATATAAAGGTAACTGCAAGTTTCCCCTGATGATGGCTTATTCCATGGCACTCTCCATCTACTTTCAGTTTGTTTTTCAATGAGAGAGAGTTTGAGGAGAAGGAAATGAACTGTATTGTGTTAATGTTTGGTAATGTAACAGCAAGTGTATCTCTGGTCACTATGGTGATATCCCAGGGGTTTGATTCAAGCTGTAGTTGTTTGATTGCTCCACTTTTTATGTCTATCATTTTAATTGAGTTATTATTGTAATCTGCTACAAATAATTGGTTCTGAGGAGAGACAGTTATACCAGTAATCCAGCAATTATCTTTATCTGAGGATGTTTTAACATTGATGTTTCTAGGGGTAGACATTTTCATTGGTACAGCAGCCTTATTTATTGGTTGAGCTGGTTGCTTCAGTTCCTTTTTTCTCAATGTTCCCAATGATTTCTCATTCTGAAGGAGTTTTTTGATTGCATGATTTGATTCAAAATTGTATTCATCAACATCATTGGTTGTTGGTAGTTGTTTTGTTATATTTTCATTGTGTAATATCAGTTGCTGAGCTATTTTCAATTCAGTAAATAGTTGGTCAGTTTTCTTGTTGGTGTTGAGATGTTTTAGAGTATCAGCTGATGCTTGGAGTGATTTGTTGATGTCATCACACATTGTTTCTGTTGTTTTCAACTTTCTTTGATTTTCATGTTGGATTTTTCCTGCAGCATCTTTAACGTCCTTTTCTAATTCATCTAATCTTTTGTTTATCTCTTTTCTAAAGTTTTCTATTTCTACTATAGCGTCTTTAAGAGAAATTGTTGATTTGTCAACTCTTTGTTTTAATTTTTTTGTAATCTGGCAACATTTGTCTGTTAATTTGTCAATATCCTTTAGAGTTTCTTTGAACTCGGTGCTGTCTAAAATCTGTCCTGATAAATCAGGTATGTAGTCCACGTGGCAGGATGTTGGTGTGTGTTGAAGGGTTACACAAACGCTACATATAAGTGTGTTATGGTCATGACAAAAAAACTTGATAATTTCATTTGTATGTTTAGGACAAGACTTTGTCAAATCAGCTGTCTTTCCACCGGAAGTAGATTTTAATGACTTACGGAGGTTTTGTTTATGTGGCATGTGATCTTTATCTAGAAGTTGGTGATGGCGTAGTGATTTTGGTCGTCTGTGAGTGTTAAAGCAAGTTTGACATAAATGTTCCTCACAATCCACACAGTAACCAAAGGCAGGTAGTCTGATGTCATCTCTGTCACATTGTTCACAGAATATGTCAAAATCTTCAGCACCACCTCGAGATAGTGTAGATGACAGTTTCTGAGATGCCTTTCTTCCAGGAACAGCCATAATGTAACCTAGAATAGAAAGTTATTAATCAAGTCAAGTCAAAATTTTATTTGCAATTCGGCAGATATCTGCCTTTGACAATACAAACATAAATATACATATGGCAAACACATTAATAAATGTTCAATACTGGATATTGTAAATTTTACTCTTTAAGAAAATCAAAAACATTGATTTTAATTCTAATACTTAAGTACCATAAGTGCCTCTTTCCTATATCTTGTGACAATTCAAAAACATTGATTTTAACTATACCACCACAAACAAAGTATAGTTGTTTGTTGGTGGGTCTCTTTCATGATTTTCTGACAATAACTAGAGTTTGGAAGGAGATGTTGTAATCAAACATGGCATAATAGCAACTTTAAGTGGGAACCCCCGTAAATGAAATTGCTTTAAGACCCCTTATGATCAAGGTCACTGTTACTAAAAATTGAAAAATGGTTTCCAGACAATACCTTAAGTTAGGAATGAGATATTGTGATCAAACTTGCTGTATATAGGAAACTTATATGAAGACCCTTGTCTCGGTATTGCATTAAGATCCCTGAGGTCAAGGTCATCACTACTTAAAAAAGAAAAATGGTTTCCGGACAATACCTAGAGTTAGGAATGAGATATTTTGATCAAACTTGGTATAAAGGAAGCTTATATTTAGATCCAGTTTTGGATTGAATTAAGACCCCCATGGGTTCAAGGTCACTGTTACTAAAAAGAGAAAATGTTTCAGACAATTACTAGTTTAGAATGAGAAACTGTGATGTGATTAAACTTGGTATATAGTTAGCTTACATGAAGAACCAGGTCAATTTTATAGCTCTTGGACCTCCTGTGGTCAAGGTCAATATTGCCATTACTAAAAAATAGAAAAAATCGTTTTCGGACAATAACTAGAGTTAGGATTGAGATATTGTAATCAAACTACCTATTTAGAAAGCTCATATGAAGACCTGGGTTGGTATTGCATTTGGATACCCTTAGGTTAAGAACGCCATTACTAAAAATAGAAAATGGTTTCCTGACCATTACTAGAGTTAGGAAAGAGCCTTGGTATTTAGCAAGCTAATATGAAGACCTAGGTTGGTACTGCAATTGAACCCCTGAGGTCAAGGTTAAGGTCACCATTATAAAAGACCTAGGCTGGCTTTGCTTTTGAACCCTTAGTATCACGGGTAACTGATACTTTACATAGAAAAATGGTTTCGGGAGGATAACATTTGTTAAGAATTACAAAGTTGATACTTAGTGAATTATAGGTCGAGTTCAAATTTGTCTTCAGGCCACTTATTTTTCAAAAAGTCAAGGTTGCTGATTGGTGTATTAATCACCTTTAGTGATAGCTCTAGTTACCATTAGTGTTTCTTTATACTGAGCATAGATATTTGGCATGTAGCATGGCTCACTATCCATGGGGTCAAAATTAGCACTAAATCAGCCTGGGGGTCTTTAATTTATAAATTTATACAGACATATATAGGAAAATACTTTTTTGTGTGAATCATCAAGACCAAAAGCTGAGATATTTGTCATTAAGCATTTCATAGCAGACATATATCTGAAGAATTATGCTGCTTTAGGGAAAAAAAAGAGAGGAAAAAAAAAATCGAAAAAAAAAACAATAAAAAAACAAACAAAAAACAGATGAAATATGAAGTCATTCCTGACTTTGACATTGAAAATAATAATTGTGACCTTTCCTAGCAATATATCTTAGGTGAGCAATCTAGGTACAAGATGACCTTTTTGTTATAGTTTAGTGTCTGAGGTGTTTCAGGTCATTCCATTTGAAAGTATAGGTAACCTTATTGTCATTCCCCTTTAAAGAAAAGGCAGATCATATTGTCACATTAAACCCATCAAAATAAAATTGAAACCATTGAATTTTAGTTAGTAAGAGTTGTGGGTGGGGTACAGAAAATTTCTCTCAAGGTTATTTAAAATGTAGGGCAAATTTAAATCAATTTAAAGTAATGTAAATACTTGATAAATTTTATTTAATTTTTAAACATAGATATTGAGTAAATTGACTCACCAGGTATTTATACAGCTGGCTAGAATATTAAAAATATTGACTTCTTTAGTTTCTTATCTGACAAGTCACTTCCCGTCTATCCACTGCTATGTATTTAACCTGTATAAACTTGTAGATCAATTTAATAAAGATTTAAACCAGGTAGTATTATATTACAAAAGAATGATGATATTACTCTAAACAGAAAACCAATATACAGTACACTAAATGCCTTAGTTTGAGGTTTAACCAGAGGTGACTTTAGGTTTACCTTCAATACAATTACCAACAAATACACATGTTTAAGATATGGCAAATATAACAATATTTGTGTACTTAAAATATTTTTTATGAAACTTGAATTATGATAGATGACAGTATTTTTAACTTTAAATTCTTATTTCTTTGTTGACTTACTACAAGTTTTAAAGATATATTCATTATCAACACCTACATACACTATTAATGGTATAATTGAAAAGTGTTATATATTCACTTTTCTTATTTGTGACAATAGCTGGTATCCACTTTAAACTTAATCGTTTGGGGGCATTTGTCTGTTTCCATTGACAGTTCTTCTTTTTTGTATTCATGTTATACCAATGAATTGATTATTTAAAGAAAGGAATAAAAAAATACAGTGCTTGTAGATAATACAAATTTGAAAATATTAAACATAAAACAGTCTTTTTAGACAAAATCCCAATGATATAACAGGTTTAAAATACTATTATGTAGGTTTTGGTTTGTTTTGTTTTACAAAACTATTTCATTTAAATGATTTAAGGTCAGTTATCATAGATTTCAATCAAAGAAGTATATATCATGCACAAATTACACAATGTTTTTGTTTAGTATTAATGGGACAATTTTAAATAACATTTAAAAAGATCATTTATCTTGATTTTGTTTGTTTGGCTGTTTTGGTTAACGTGTACTAGTATCAAGTAACTGTATCTGACGAAAATGTAGGGCAATGCTTTATGAGTGTTACAGACCTTGTCAAATGCTTCATTAAGGTATGCATGTCAAATGTTCAACACAGTAATTCTTAAAATATGTGAATAGTTTTTATATACTACCAACCTTGCATTTTTGAGTTATTGTCCTTTGATATCAATTAAATTTCGTTGAGTGCAGAGGATTTGTCTTTTTGCAACTGTTTTGACACGGAATTCTACAGTGTGTAATTTTGATAATTTGATATATGAAAAGCATTTCAATGCAAGACACTTAGTTAATGTAGATAAAGAATACATGTTAACTTTTTACTTTTTATGCTCCCCGAAAAATTTCTGGGGAGCATATAGTCGGCGCCTTGTCCGTCTGTCCGTCCGTCCGTCTGTCCGTCAGTTTTCTTGTCCGGAGCATAACTTGAAAACCCTTGGAGATAATTTGTTTAAACTTCATACAGTGGTAGAGGGCATTGAGGGGGAGTGCAATGTCAAAGAACCATAACTCTATTTTACCTGGTTTTTAAATTATCTCCCCTTATAGAAAAATCTTGTCCGGGGCATAACTCTAAAACTATAAGAGATATCAACATGAAACTTTGTAGGTGAATAGATCTCAATGGGTAGATGTGCAGTGCATAAGACCATTAACTCTTTTTGTCCTAATTTTGGAGTTATTGCTCTTTGTTAATTTCAACACTTTGAACTTTGTCCGGAACATAACTCTAAAACTATAAGAGATATCAAGATGAAACATTGTAGGTAGATAGATCTCATTGAGTAGAAGTGCAGTGCAAAAGAACCATAACTCTGTTAATTTTGAATTATCTCCCCTTATAGAAAAATCTTGTCTGGGGCATAACTCTAAAACTATAAGAGATATCAACATGAAACTTTGTAGGTGAATAGATCTCAATGGGTAGATGTGCAGTGCATAAGAACAATAACTCTTTTTGTCCTAATTTTGGAGTTATTGCCCTTTGTTAATTTTAACACTGAACTTTGTCCGGAACATAACTATTAAACTATAAGAGATATCAAGATGAAACATTGTAGGTAGATAGATCTCATTGAGTAGAAGTGCAGTGCAAAAGAACCATAACTCTGTTAATTTTGAATTATCTCCCCTTATAGAAAAATCTTGTCTGGGGCATAACTCTAAAACTATAAGAGATATCAACATGAAACTTTGTAGGTGAATAGATCTCAATGGGTAGATGTGCAGTGCATAAGAACAATAACTCTTTTTGTCCTAATTTTGGAGTTATTGCCCTTTGTTAATTTTAACACTGAACTTTGTCCGGAACATAACTCTAAAATTATAAGAGATATCAAGATGAAACATTGTAGGTAGATAGATCTCATTGAGTAGAAGATCTCATTGAGTAGAAGTGCAGTGCAAAAAAAACCATAACTCTGATAAGCCTCATTTTTGAATTATCTCCCCTTTTAGAAAAATCTTGTACTGGACATAGCTGTAAAAGTATAAGAGATATTAACATGAAACTTTGTAGGTAGATATATCTCAATGGGTAGATGTGCAGTGCACGAGAATCATAACTCTGCCTTGCCTAATTCTGGAGTTATTGCCATTTGTTTATTTTTACTTTTTGAATTTGTCCGGAACATAACTCGGAAACCATAAGAGATATCAACAAGAACTTTGTAAGTTCATAGATAACAGTGATTAGAAGTGCAGTGGAAAGAACAGTAACTCTGCCTTTCCTAATTTTGGAATTATTGCACTTTGAACTTTTTCCAAGGCATAACTCTGAAACTACAAGAGGTGTACTTTCCTGTGTCCAAAACCTATTCGGGGAGCATAACCCGGCTCAAACCGGGCTCTTGTTAAACTTGCAATGCACACATTATGTGGCTTACTCTTGTGGTGGAGACTCTTCAAATAACGATGTTTTATTGCTGTAAATTATCTTGGGAATTACTAAATTTATATTGAGTTTTATAAGAAAAACGTACTGAAATGTGTTTGTATTTTTTATATGCCCGAAAGAATTTCGGACATATTATGTTATACCCCCTGGCGTCCGTCCGTCTGTCCGTCCGTCCGTCTGTCCGTCCGTCTGTCCGTTAGCAATTTGGTTTCCGGAGCATAACTGAAGTTCCATTTGGCCCACAATATTCAAACTTCATAGGATGATTGTCCATATTGGGTAGAAGACCCCTATTGATTTTGGGGTCATGAGGTCAAAGGTCAAGGTCACTATGACCTTAAAACTGAAAACGTTAGCAATTTGGTTTCCGGAGCATAACTTAAGTTCCATTTGGCCCACAATATTCAAACTTCATAGGATGATTGTCCATATTGGGTAGAAGACCCCTACTGATTTTGGGGTCATAAGGTCAAAGGTCAAGGTCACTATGACCTTAAAACTGAAAACAGTTTTTGGAGCATAACTTAAGTTCCATTTGGCCCGCAGTGTTCAATCTTCATAGGATGATTGTCCATATTTGGTAGAAGACCCCTATTGATTTTGGGGTCACAAGGTCAAAGGTCAAGGTCACTATTACCTTAGAACTGAAAACAGTTTTTGCGGAGCATAACTTAAGTTCTATTTGGCCCACAGTGTTCAAACTTCATATGATGATTGTCCATATTGGGTAGAAGACCCCTATTGATTTTGGGGTCACAAGGTCAAAGGTCAAGGTCACTATTACTTAGAAATTGAAAACAGTTTCTTGAGCATAACTTTAGTTCCATTTAGCCCACAATATTCAAAAACTTCATAGTATGATTGTCCATATTGGATAAAAGACCCCTAATGATTTTGGAGTCACAAGGTCAAAGGTCAAGGTCACTTTTACCTTAGAATTGAAAACAGTTTCTGGGACATAACTTAAAGTTCCATTTGGACCACAATTTTGAAACTTCAAAGGAGGATTGTTATTTGAAGGAGGTAATACTTTATTTTAGTCCCATGTCTTACAAATGCTTCATCTTTACTAAAAAAAAAAACACTTTCGGGCATATAATGCTCCGCCTAGCGGTGCTCTTGTTGTTTTTGGTTATTCATAGAAACAGAAATCAGACTGTTGTTCAAGTTCTTGTAATTGGCCAAACATTTGTTTTTCTGTAAAAGTCAATTTTATTAAAATGCTATTCACCAATATATTATTATTTTTCACCTTTACTGGTTAATATCCTTGAGGCAAGTCTGAACTTAAGGGTAGATAAGTCTGCCAAGAACTTTTAATGTCTTGGTTGCACATGTTATAGTATGGTGAATGGCGGGCATGTGGCAGGCAGGCGGGCGAGCAGGGAAAAAACTTTCGTAACAGTTTCCTCAGCAACTACACATCACAACCTCTTGATATTTGGTATACAGCATTAACTTGTGGTCCCATTACTGTGGTATTAGATTTCAGGTCTGTCGTTCACTGTTCGACAGTATTGGTCAATGTTAGGAAATTTTCGTAACAGTTTTCTCAGCAACTTCTTATCACAGCCTCTTGATATTTGGTATACAGCATTAACACATAGTATCATACAGAAGGTTTCGATTTCAGGTCTGTCCCTGATCCACTTCCTGTTTACAGACTTCGTTAAATGTTCGGCATTAATGGTCAGTGGCACGAAACTTTTTTTCAGCATCTACATATCATAGCCTCTTGATATTTGGTACTAATGTGGTATTAGATTTCATGTCTGTCGTTCACTGTTCGACAGTATTGGTCAATGTTAGGAAATTTTCGTAACAGTTTTCTCAGCAACTTCTTATCACAGCCTCTTGATATTTGGTATACAGCATTAAAAGATGGTCCAATACTGTGGTATTCGATTTCAGGTCTGTCGCAGATCTACTTCCTGTTTACCGACTGAGTTAAATTTTCGACATTGATGGTGAATGGTATAAAATTTTCCTAACATCACAGACTCATGATATTTGGTATACAAATGCGACCCGGCCATTTCTGTCTTTGACTCATTTTTGCAGATTTATGCCAATTTTTCTTTTATACTCTCCAGCTCTGATGAAAGTGAAGAGTGCTGTACTCAGATAGCTTATATTTGTTGATTTGTGTGATTCTACATGTAGTATGTTTCTGTTTGGGTCTATATATATTATGTTTCTGTTTTAGAACTTAGAAGGTGACGACCATAAATCAATAAGACCAGAGCTGCTGTATGTACGTGGGAGAATGTTTAAACAAAAATTAAACATTGATCAGGTAAAGGTTAGCTAACTAGTCCTTCTTTTTATAAATGTTTATAAGTGAATAAAGTGCTTTCTTTCATGATTTTAACATTAAATAGAAACAAAATTGATTTTAAATGAATAGTGTGCCTATTGCATGAACTCCTTATTCATTTATGTCCTGAAGAACAAAACATGTGATTCCAATGGTCGGTGCTTGCTTTTGCCTGAAATTACATTAGTTCTGTCCCAACCATTATTCTTGGACAGTTGCCAGGCAATCTAACAGTGTCAATCAATATTCACTTGGAGTGTTCCATTTGATAAGTGACATGGTAAGCTTTTGTGATCGGAAATCCTTCCATTTGTATTCTTGTTGGGTATTTTACTGTGTAAAAAAGTACCCAACAATACATCAAAATTCAATAAATATACCCAACAATAAATACGGAGTGAGTAGGATTGGTAGTTGTTTGGTATTTAGTACCCTCTCGTGCGCTCGCTTTTCGTCCGGCATCCGTCCGTCTGTAAACTTTTACTTTAAACGGCATCTCCTCATAAACCACTTATACAATTTCATCCAAACTTTACAGGAATGTTCCTTTGGTAGTCAACTTTAAAAATTGTTCAAAGAATTTAATTCCAAGCCGGGAAAAAACCTTTAAAATATCTTCTTTTAGAAAACCGCAAGAGCTAGAGCTTAAATATTTGGCATGAAACATCACCTAGTCAGTGTCTACCAAGTTTGTTCAAATAAATGCCCTGGGTCAAAATTGGCCCCACTGCGTGGGGTCATTGATTTTCCTATATAGTAAAAACTTAAAAAGATCTTCTTTTAAAAACCCGAAATAGTTAAAGCTTAAATATTAATAAAACATCTTCTAGTGGGTGTCAACCAAGTTTGTTCAAATAAATGCCCTGGGGTCAAATTGGCCCCTCCCTGGGGGGTCATTGATTTTCCTTAATTGTATAGAGTAAAAACTTAAAAAATCTTCTTTTAAATAACCAAAAGAGCAAGAGTGTAGATATTAATAATGAAATATCTTCTAGTTAGTGTGTACCAAGTTTGTTTAAATAAAAGCCCCTGGTTTAAAATTGGCATTTGCCCAGGGGTCTATATACAGGTGAGCAATTTCAGGGCCATCATGGCCCTCTTGTTAAAATTTGTTAATGTATCAATGTATTCAAATACGTGTTTGAAATAGCTACCGGTCACAATTAAAGGTAATGTTTACTGCAAATGGACAAAACTGCAAAGGATAATAAAGAAATGTTCTCAGAATGAAATTAAACTTCAATAACTGTGCTTTTTTTAGCCCAATGTAAGTGAAAAACGTTGCAACACTTTTCATTTTTGGATAATTTTGCACATTAAAAATGATTATTCTTTTAAAACGAATTATTCGGCTGACATAAAATGATGTAGATTAAATTCATAGATCTCGGATATTTTCAGTCGAATCAGGCCAAAAATCTTAGTGAAGTCCCTTAAATTATATACAGAAAAGCCCAGGCCAACCTGCATGTCTGAGTCAACCATCCAGACTCTCACCCTGCTGAATTTTAATATTTTCTGAAATTCTTGTTAGACCGATAGTAAACAGTCCCAAATTTAACATAGAATGTGTTGTTTGTATAAAATTGAGAACTTTGTTGTTTTTTCCTCTGATTGGAATAGCAAAGCACAAAACCAGTAAATTCTATTTTTCTGCAAGTAACATAATTTCTTAATTTCTAAATCAGCTTTGAGAGATAATTGACTATTAGACTTAAAGTCAGAGTTCTGACTGAATGTCAGTTCAGTTGTCTTCAATTTAGCCTGTTCTGAGGATCAACCAGGGGACACCTGAATTACAAATCCTATGTGCTCAATGTTAAGCTAAGCAGGTGGACAGAAATGGGAAAACTTAGATATGAAGACTGTGTTTATAATATAGAATTGTAGCTGTATAGAGAGTAATTTTATGTTACTTATTGTATTGTTACAGTTAGCAAAGTGGTTCTCCCCCTATGGAAATGTTGATGTGAAAGCATATGGCCAAAATAAAGCATTGGTTGCTACATCAAACCACTACTGGTAAGACATTTAATTCTGTTTTTATTTTTTTGTGCCCATATCTGAATAACTAAAATATTTTGTGTTAAAAAATAATATATGCCAAAATAATAAATAAAATTATTTTGAAATAAACTTCATGTGCTTCCTAAGGCGTGAAAATGTGCATTATGTGACAAAATCTACATGTGGTGAATTGAAAAACCCTAAGAAAAATAAACATATTAATAAATTTATAAAAGAATTATATTATATTTGTCTCCACACATAACGGTCATAATGTTGGTTAGATATGAGAACAGTAGACTGTTTGACTGAGAAATTGATCACAGAACAACAGTTATTATGAAACATCAATCCATAACACACTATTTAAAAGCCCATTTAGAATTAACCTTATAATTACTGAAAATCTCAAAAGTTATAAAATAACAACTTTTTAATTCATTTATTCTATTGTATTATCTTGATAATACTAATCAATGAAATATAAAATTGTGTGTTGGTGTATTTGCGTTCTAATTTATTACTCGCCAACCGGTTTGGCCCATATGGGCGACAGAAGAGTAATTAGTCATTTTAGATTTTTATAGTTGCAGATACAAAGATGCCCCAATTTCCAAGAAAGCTTCTCCTGGGTTTTTCTTTAGCGTAGTGTTTAAGCACCCGTACAACGGACCCACATCTCGATTTAAAAGTCTCATCCGAAAGACTGATTAGTAATTTTAGTTGGCCAGCCCCGGGAAAATCGAACCCCACAATGTCGAGATTACAAGTTCTGCGCTCTAACGATTGAGCTATGCCGGGCCTGGCTGAATGAAATAAACACCATCTATGCCATGTATTTATCCAACCAAATCTCCAAACTAAAGAGTATCAAGGAATGACAACTTATGTACTCATGTTTTAATATATAAGACCAGAAGAGTTAACTTTCTTGAATACTTAATACAGTACATTGACTACGTTTCCTTGCTTCTAACCAGGGACTTCTCAGGGCTTTCTTACGCATTTTAAAAGCTGAATAGATATCTGTATTACCTTACATGCCTTAATATTGTAAGCGAGACCTTTAATTTAAGTCGCCCCTAACCCCAAAATAATCATTGTATTTTCAAACTCGATTTGTGTTTCGTGAATCATTTGTTTAATTTATTTGTTTGTAATGGAATATATTTCAGGGTACACATGTTTAAGGTCATAATTTATTGAAACTGTAATGTCTAAGGGTTGTTAACTTGTTGTGTGGACTTACGTGAAATTCTTAATGAAAATGACTGAAATGGTTTTTTTTTTGAAAAGTTACTGCAGGTCTTTTTCTGTATTTAATGTTTTATTTTTTATAAATTTTATGCAGTTGAAATATGTTTGTATTTTATTACTAATTTTACAGTGCCAAAGATATTTTACGAGCATTTAAACAGCACAACACAATATATGTGACATATTATAGTGTATGGAAACACTCTCCCGTTGCCAGGGGACTTTTGTGGTAAGTTTCTGTCTTTACAAAGTATCAGATAATTTTCTAATCTAGTTACTAGTGGTAAATGTATGTCATATGTTGAGGTTCGAACCGGAAATTTCCTGTATATTGTACCATGTTTAAGTTAAAATGTTTTACGTCATCAAATTAACATTTCTCAGATATTCTGGCATTTCATACGCTTCTATCTTCTTATACAAGCGTATTAATTTACTTCATAACAGCAAAATAATGCATAATATCTTCCCTCTATTAAAATAATTCCATTTACTATTGCTGCGTCTTATTTTGTATATAACAGTCTTGAAACTATTTTTCATTTACATATATAAGACATTAAAATGAATGTATGGCTTAGATATAGTAATACTGCAACTATGTATGTATCATCCATCTCTATTACCAACTTATTTTGAATTTGTAATTAATTTTTTTTTGACGGGGTTCCCAAACAAAAATGCAATTTTAAAATGGTAAGAAATTTCCCCTTCAATTCCCCGATAATTTCCGATGAAAAAATTTAAGGAAAAACCAAGAAAATAAGAAAATTTCGAATATAAAAAGGTTTAAATTTTTTTGCATTTTCCTAAATTTTTTAAAAAGGAATCAACAGTTTCATGAAAAAAATTAAAACAAAAAATGTAATTGAAAATCCCCAAATGTTTTAAAAGCCTATAGAAAAACATAAAAGGGAAAAATTCCCAAAATTTTAATACTTCTTTTGCAAATTTTTTGGGAAACGGGATTTTTTGCAAATCAGGAAAGTGCTTGTGTTGTTGCCTTTTTGACTGGTGAAAAGGGAAAACTTTGACCAAAAAAAAGTTTTAAATTTAAAAGGGAAAAAAAGGACTTAAAATTCTATAAAAATGGGAAATTGAAAAAAAGAGGGAATTAACAAAAAAAAGACTTAAGATTACCAAAAAAAAAAGAAAAATGAAAAAGCTGGAGATTGTCTGACAGAGTCATACTACTTCTACTAAATTGAATCTTGAGTGGCAGGATAGGGAAATTATAGTTTCTGTTGGAAATCTTGTAGATGATATTATGGAAAGAAACAAGATGTCAACATTGAAAAATTGGATGTCATTTTCATATCTCAACCACTTCGGGGTTGGGACAGTCATGTAGAATTTTCATTGTCCGTTTTTGATACTGTCCTGTTGTACGTCAGTAGACTGACAAAGCATTGAAATATTGGGCCATCTGTGTCCTATGGACACATTTCTTATTATTACAACAAATGTATTCGGAAAAATTCAAAACTGAAATATGAATCAGCATGACTTTAAATCAGTAAATTGTTTGATTGCTTTAGGAACTGGCATATTGTAGCTTAGTTTGTCACACAAGAATGAAGAAATGTTTTTGCAGTGTATAAAGCCATTATAGCAGGCTTTGATTAATAAAATATGTTGATCAAATCATTGAAATGAAGAAATTTGTTATTAACTTCTTGTTGTTACCGGTTTTTAGAAATTTTATTTTCTTCTTTTTTGAATAAAATTCAATTTCTCTTTTATTTATTATTTTTTTACACCACAGGGGTTAATTGTTCTTTAAAATGTAACAGAGTACATGTACATAAGTAAAGTATTGTCAACAAAAGTGTAGAATTTAATAAGGCATTTTGTCAGATATTTTCTTGACACATTAAGTGTGTTGCCATCTTTGATACCATGTATGGTTATTGCAGATTTGATGTTAAAATGCTTCATTTTAATCAGATCATTTGTTGGAATTTTAAGGATTTGAAATTATAACTGTAAAATTTGGCTTTATAGAAGATGAAAAAATACTGAGCTCTTCCAAAAGACAGTCGACCAAAACTTACTAATGGTACTTGGCTCGTCCTACTACTTCCATGTCATACCTAGATTACACATCAGGAGAAAGGTACAAACATCCAAATAAACCATTAGTTATACATAAAGCCTTAGGTACTCTAAAAAGGCTTCCCTATCCCAACCCCTTCACAAAAACCCTGGGTTGTACATTCTCGCATATTTATTTGGTTTGTAGCCATCATCTTTTGGTCATCTACAAATGTTAAATAAACCATGTCCATTGGGTCAAAATTGACCCCTCCCCTAGGATCTAATATTGGAACTGCAATGCCATGAGGTTATTCAGTTGACATGTAGAAATTGCTTAATGAATCTCTTAAAAAATTTATGAATCCTTTCCCTAGGTCAGCAATATACTTACCGTGACATTCAATTATTATTCGCACTATACCTCTGCCCTGGCATGTAAGAAATTAAAGATCCTTGCAAAAGTGAAGGCAACAAATACTGATAAACTGCTAGACAGCCTGCCCAGGAACGATTCTGTGGCTGAGCTGTGCTATTGTAAATTCAATGTGGCTAATTGCGGTAATCTGGATTTACAACTACAAATACCACCACCAGGATAAGATCACAAGTGTTTGCCTCTCAAAAAGCAATATAATGTTGGCAAATTGAAAGCCTGAAATTCAAAGCAGAGCTCAGAAAATAGTTTTATAACAAAGATATAAGGCATGAAGCATTACCTTCAGGTCCTCAAGAAAAGTTATACAATTCATGCATCTGGGTCATAAATGAACACATCCCAGAAAGTCACATAGACGAAAATGTATAAAAAAACACATATAAGTATTAGAGGCCCATCATGCTTTCAGAAATGCGTTTATTTTTATTTCTCAATACCTTTTTTGGCTCACCTTGTCACAAAGTGACATGGTGAGGTTTTGTGATCACTTTTCGTCCAGCATCCATTCCGTCGTCAGTAAACTCTTTACTTTAAAACGACATCTCCTCATATAAACCGCAAAGCCAATTTTCATTCAGAATACTCCCCAGGGATCCCCATTCATGGACAGATTCCCGAGGGACGGATATTCCGATCCGAACCGCAAACATATGTCATTTTTCTTGCATATTCCTACCATAATCCAGCATATTATTAATTCTTTATCTTAATAAAAAACATTTCCCATTGGACAATTATGTCATAACAACCGTATATATTTTCGTAAAACAGTGTATGAAACTTAAACTTCATTCATTATACGGCAAAATTACATCATTCAAAGTATGACATTGTATAGCACGGGACTCATCTGGCACCCCAAAGACAGATGAAATTTCCGGCATGATCAAAATTGATTGAAACACCAGTCTGATATGCAAGAAATACTTGTCAAATTGTTATAAATGAATGTCTGGATTTCTATTTAGTGATATAAAATCCATATTACTCAGCGAATATCACTCATAGTGTTGTTAACATAGCTTTGCTGATTTTTTTGTGGCCTGCGTATTAATTCATGACTCCTTAAATTTACTTAAAAATGCAATGTGTTTCTTATACTTTAAAGCATATTTCTTGCTTCAAAGGCAATTACTGCACTAAAGTAATATTTTTTTCGACCGCAATGATGTCTTTATTCCGCAGTAATATTAAAGTCATTTTCAGCTTGACTATTCACAGAAAAATCAAGCTAATGCGGTCACTCATTTGTTGGCGTCAGCGCCCCTGTGTTTAATTTTTTGCGTGTAAGCTGCTATCTCCATAACTACTGAGGAGAATGGATTAAAACTTTACACACTTGTTCTCTGTGATTATCTTACATGATTGGCTTAAGTCACAAAACTCTGATGATTTGCTTTATTGCATAATTATGCCCCTTTTTCGACTTAAAAATTCATGGTTAAGTTTTTGCTTATAAGCTGGTATCTCTATTATTTTTGAAGAGTTTGTGCCATTTTTGTGACAATTTAATGCATTCATAATAATCAAGCAGTGACTTACTCGATAAAACATCTTAATAACAAGCCGTTGTATCTTTTCAGATAATTTTATGTATTCATATAGGTAAGCATTATTATACTCAATAAAAACACACTTTTGACAACTTTTTCGAATAGTCAAGCAATGCTGTCCTCCGACAGTTCTTGTTTATACGAGCGTAAAACAACTGTGTTATAAACTTGTTCGAGTAACCTTCAACCTCTGACGGACATTCCCTCAATCTTATTTTAAGTACCATAAGCAAGAGAATTTCAAGGAAATTTATGAGTTGACAAATCTCATTTCATCTATTCAAACAACGCTAGATATATTGTCCTTGCAACAGGGAACACTTTCGGGGCTTACTTACTTCAAACAATCATCACATTTATTCTTTTGATTGTCATTTCATTTCCAGGGTCAAGATGTTTTCCAAGTATAATTTCTTTATCCTTATACATGTATATAGTAACATGTAGGGAGTGATATACATGATATAAATCAGAATAAACACTTTAATGTAAGTAGAATAAGGAAGATATTACATCACATGGGTATCATTGTTTAAATATAACGGACATTAAATGAAAAGAGTATATAATTAAGAAATAATTGCTCTGCTTAGTGGATGTGTGTGTAAAACACTTTAAGTTGTTGAAATCCCATCCTGCTTTAAAAATTATATAAAATTAATGGGGAAAAAATAAACCGAAACACCTTGTTTTATAATAATAATTGCTGTTAAACTTATTTATTGAAAAAGACAGTTTTTGGTCACAAGTGTCTCTGAGAATATGACATGTTAATTTGAAAGTAGCGAAAATGGATGATAATTAGGTAAAATTGAATAAAAACTGAGTGGTATTGACTTAAAATGGGCTTATTTCAGTAAAAGTAAAATTGCAAGTACGTATTGAATGACCCCAATAAAATGTAATATTGAGAGAAAGAAATCATTAAATGTAACGTCATAATTTCTTTAAAATTTCATCAATAAAAATAATGTAATGATATCGTTAAAGCAGCATGCTTTAAGATCCATGTTTATTTTCATAACAATTTGAAAAATCTATTTAAAAGTAAAATATTGTGAAGTGAACAAAGGAAGTAATTTATCATGTTATTACATTGATTTCTGATGATAAAGTAATTGCCTGATAAGTTTAGCTTTATCAGACACCTCATCAATAGATATTGAAATAAAATTAAGAGAATGACTTATTTTTACCTCAAACTGGTTTGATATTTTGGGACTATTTCTTAAAGATATGACCCGTGGCATATTACTGCGCAGGGCATGAATTCAAAAGGTTTCTGACAGGTTTTTGATTAATTTGACATTTAAAGAAATAAACGCATACTAAAATTGAAAACATGATTATTAGAATACCAAACCAGATTATTATTATAAAATTTATCAGGCTTGGCATGAAAAAAATGAAGGGCTCAGCAATGCTCTGCCCTTCTTCTGACCTTTTTTTAGCTTACCTGTCACAAAGTGTCTTGGTGAGTATTTGTGATCGCTTTTCGTCCAGCGTCCGTCCGTTTTCCGTCCATAAAGTTTTAATTTAAAAGACATCTCCTTATAAACCTCTAAGCCATTTTCATCCAATCTTCACAGGAATGTTCCTTTGGTAGTCAGTTTTAAAAATTGTTCAA